TCAGTGTCGTAGATGTGGATGTGGTGTGTTGGGTGTCGATATGATGATGTGATGTGTTGCGTGTGTGGCACTGGTGGCCGGCATATATTGGTTATATATGTTGTTGGGGTGAGACCTTTAGATGCAGCAAAAGTGTGCGTGTGTGGTCCATTCGGGGCTAGTGTTTGCAGGTTAGAATGTGAGGGGCTGATTGTTTATTTTAGAAGGTTGTACACGTGAGTGATATTGACTGGTTGTTTGGTTATGAATTAGTGTGGCGTTATCGTCATAAGCGTTTGTGTGTTTTGTGTTACCCAATTGGTCCGTCGATGGGGCTAACCCTTGAGGGTTAGGTTGAGGTAGAGGGAGTCGGGTTTTGTCATCCTTTTATATATGATAGCAAAGGATAGAGTGTTGGAAATAATAGGTAGCAAATGAGAGTGAGTATAGGTATGAGGAGACTATTGAGTGGTGAGAGAGTGTGGTTAGTAGGAAAGGGATGCAGAAGAAAAAAGATATAAAATATTGGGGAGGGAGTTTAACTAATTACTATACTTTAGTTTTTCAATTCTAAATTTTATCTTACTGAATTATGTATAGTCATTAATTTTATTTCCAGATGCATTGAGACAGAAATCGAAATGCTCAGCAACAGAGTACCATACTTAAAAAGAGAAATAATTGTAATATTGTATACTTCAATTGAAATGTAATAGTACGACTAATCGTGTTAAAGTAGTTGTTAGACTTTCGTGTGTTTGGTTGTGTTTGTTGAGTTGATTTTTAGTCTAGTGATGTATTCGTTGTAAAGAGATTTGTTTACCACGTGGTTAATTACTAAGTTGAATTTTCTAAATGCAGTGTGTTGGGACAGAATGGTGGGATATTTTATCTTAATGTAGTCAGAACCGAAAATGGGCTATCACATCAATCAAACTCTTGACTTGGGTAGTGTGGATATATAGATATATATATATACATACAAAATAAAAGTTTACATTTTTTCGTTCTTTTATTAAAATAATATATCACATATTAGTAATATAATATTAAAAAATCTCAAAAAAAATTTAGCATTAAAAAGGAATTTATAATATGTTATAAACACATAATATTAGAGAATATAAAGTAGTTTATTTGCAAATAATAAAAAATAATTATTTTAAATTAAATTTAAAATATTTAAACCCGTCAGAAAAAATTTTGACTGACTAATTGAAAATCAAGCTCGTCAACAAATCGATTTTGCTGCCTCTCTGTTCGAACTCCATAGGCGCGTGCGGAGCACGGATACACAAGCAACGAGCGAGAAAGAGTAAAGATCGTACCTTTCTGTTCTTCTCTCTCAGCTCGTTGGGGGTCCGTGCATTGTCTCTCGTCACAAACCGAACAGCAGCACTCACTTCCTTCTAACTTAATCGTCCTTTCCAAGTCTTCACGAAAACCATTTGGTTCCACAAGAGGTGGATTTTTAGGGTTTCTATTGCCATCGGTGAGTTCTTCGAATCCGGTGGCCCATATCTCTTGTTCTCTCATTTTCTTTTTTTAATTCTAAACTCTTTTAGTTATAATTTTCGATTTTCTTTATGATTTTCAGTTCTCTTATGTGCTTATCAACGTAGCATTGTGTAGTTTTACTTGTTTTTGAATTTCTAGGGCATAAAGGGATTTTGGAGGGTTCGAATATTTCACTGGTGTTAAAAGTTTGTAGTTTTGAGAAAATTAATGGGTGAACTTATAAATAGGATAGTTCACTGGGGTTAGGTATGATACTTAATACAGAGTAATTTGTCTTTATGGAAGGCTCCTGCTAGAACAGTTATTAATGGGAGTAATGGAAACTCTTTGAACAGTCAATGTACTTATGAATAGAGGACTAGAGAGAGTGTCAAATAAGAAATTGATAGATTTTGTTGAAATTGTTCTTTTGGAAATTTTCTCAGAAGCAAGCAATAAGATCTTCTTTCCTTTGCATCGATAGGGTCGAGTGCTCATGGTTAAACTTGTCGAAGAGATGAAATACAACCAGGATATATCTTCGGATTCCTTTTTGGTCTCTTAATCAAAGCTCGAAATCATGATGGAAAATGAATTGGATAAAAGATGAGGATACAATCTAGGAAAATAAAACCTCCATCAAGGAGAAGTAAAGGGAAGGCTTCCATTTTCTTATTTGACTGTATTAAACATCAATGCTCAAGATTTTAGACATTGGTCCTGGCATTGGCTAAAGAATATTAGAGGCCATCTTGGTGGCAAATGCAAACATGTGGCACTGTTTGCTGCTCAACCTGCAGGGGGAAATGCTATTCAATTATGTTTTTTTTTTTTGTTGGATGGTACTTCCTTTGATAGATATAATTTGTATATGGTACGAACTACAATCAGAAATATTTTAACCAAGTAATATGCTGTGTATGCTGCCACCTCCTTGTCGCTATGCCATTATTGGTAAATGGCTACCAGGAGTAGTGGTGGTGAAGCTCTAAAGATGTTTGTTTATAATCAGCAAAACTGATGAGGAAGAAACGTAATACTATTTTTCCGTGTAGATCTTTTAGCAAGTTTAATTTATTCAGCTTTTTTTTTTCTTTTCTTTCAGTTAGTGATGATAGATAAAGAATGGATTGTCCATTTCTGCAATAGGTGATCATGGATAAACATTTGGGACTTGGATTTGATTCAGATGAAAGTGACTTAGATGTGCAAGGTGAAACCTACGAGGAGTATGGAAAAGTAGAAGTAATCCCAAAAAACTTGGAATTTTCTGTAGGTGAGGATGATGAAATAGAAAAAAGGTCTCCTGCAGATCTCCCTGAAAATTCGGAAGGATTAGAACCATGCATTGGCATGGTTTTCAATTCAAGAGATGAAGCCAGAGAATTTTATGCTACATACGGCAGGCGCACTGGCTTCACTGTCCGCATCCACCATAATCGCCGGTCACGGGTAAACAATCAAGTTATTGGTCAAGATTTTGTTTGTTCAAAAGAAGGTTTCCGTGCAAAGAAGTATGTCTATAGAAAAGACAGAGTTCTTCCTCCACCACCAATTACTCGAGAAGGCTGCCAAGCAATGATAAGGCTAGCTTTGAGAGACGGAGGAAAATGGGTTGTTACAAAGTTCATTAAAGAGCACAGTCATAAGCTAATGAGTCCTAATAAAGTTCCATGGCGGGGATCTGGAAAGCAGTTATTAAGTGAGGTATGCTTGAATATGTGAGAAGTATATGTATTGCAAATGCATGGATAGGTAAATCAAAAGCTAACTAGAAAATGAGTCTACGAAGAAAGTTTTATCTTAATTTACACTAATTTGTAGACATTTGAGAAATTTTCATAGGTGAAAATACCCAAGTTTCCTAGGAAAACTCGTGTTATCTATATACACACAAAAATTTCATCCTGTGTTCCATTTTTTCCTTTTGTTATTTAACCTCTTTTGGAGCTCTAAATTGATAGACAGAAAAACAATTAAGGCCTTCTCTGACTTTCCACTTCTCGCAATGTCCTGATAGAACAAGCCTCCTGAAATGGAACAAGGAATAAACAAATAGAAAGTGAATATTTTCTACCTCAAGAACAAGAAATTAAGTCTGGCTTATATTTTTAAAAATTCCAGTGATGTATAAGATTACCATCTTGTTCTGTTTTGATGGCTTGACCTGATTTCATGTGTATAATAGTTATTTAATCCAAATCTCTTGTTTGGATCTCACAAACTCTGGTCAAAATTGAGTTTACCATCAAAATAACTAGAAAAGATAAGTTTATTTATTTTTAAATAAAAAGTGAAAAGTTAAGTTCATTAGTTACTAACTTTTGTTGCTTGTATTGATATCACCATTGCCAACCGGGGCGAGTGATCTGTGGTGATTTCACCATCTAATTGTTTTGTTATCCAAAATTTGGTCCCGAGTCTAGTAGAGACTGGCATAACGACATGCCACCTTTGTTAGATAGCGCTAATATATTTGCTGGTTCTTCGGTCATATGTTTAATTAGTTCAAAATCTTTTGGTAGTGTTTTAGTTGCTGCACAAAGATCTCTGAGCCCATTTGCTAGCTGACCTTTGCAGGATGAGAAGGATAAGAGAATCCGTGAACTATCACTCAAGCTGTATAACGAGAGGCAGAAATGTAAACGGCGGTGTGCTGCGTATGAAGAACAGTTGAATCTGATTCTGAAAGATCTAGAGAAGCACACAGAACACATTTCAAAAAAAGTTGCCGATGTAGTGCAGAGCATAAAGGCAATTGAGGAGGAACAATCAGATGATTCTGATAGTGAATGGATGTAGAACCGGGTTAGCTTACTTTCAAGAATTGTTCCCAACGTCCATGTTTATCGTCAACAAGGCATGTTATCCAGTTCATCTGTGGAATTCGATTGAGCTAATCATGGCAAATGAAGTGCGAGATCCTTTTATTTTTCCAGTCATACTTGCAGAGTTGTGATTCAAGTGTACATGGTCCAACGTGCTTTTGCCAAAGCTTCAATGTAACATCATGTTTCCATGTAAAATATATTAGCATAAGATGTTCTTCAGTTTTGACATTGGAACTGCAGCTTGTCAATAAATGGATATTCTTTTTGGTCTTTTTTTTGCTATGGTATTAAAATAGAAAATACTAATATAATAAAAAAAAATTATTTTTTCTGGTTCTGTTATTGTGGAGTTTACACAATGCAATCGATTAGATCATATAAATATTCTTTTAATATAATATAGATTGTTGAAAGGATTTTATAGAATCACTAAAATATATAAATCAGAATTTTTTTAAAAATAAATTTCTAATCTAAGAGTATATAAATGCATGAATAAGTTTAGACTAACCAGTCAATTTGGGATTCACTTTGCAATTTTTTTTCCTTTAGGGTTTTGGTAAAGAACTGGAATGGTTTGGTTGTAAAGGTTCAATTTTTCTTGTCAGTTTTAGGGCCTCCGCTGCATAGAGAAAGTGTCATTTTAAGATGATGATGGGGTAGTGAAGTGTGTATCTTCAATTGCTTGTTCGAATATCCGATGTGGGACTCCTTTCTTATTTCCTTTCTAAATGGTTTACACACCTCAAAACTTCATTGCAGTGGAAGATGCAAAAATAAAAATACAAGATGACAAAGATTAAAACATATACTTTTATTATTGTTTCTAAAATTTTAAAGATGATGTATTCATATATGTGTACACACATGCACACATATACATATATATGCTAACGGTTTGTGTCAATATAGTTATTTGATTGTAATATTTTTTATTATTTAATTGCTAATATTGTACCAAAGCAAACAATGCATAATTTAGTATCAGTAAAAAATTACATAGTTTAATATATATGAGTTAAATATGAGTAGTTACAATATAAGTCTTGCTTAAATTATTTCCTTTGTAAAAACACAAAAAGCTGCATTGTACACCATATACATACAAAAACTCCTAAACATTACAAACAAAAATTATGGTGATGACCCTGATCATAAATGAAAATAATTGTTTTTTATTTACTTGGGGATAGACCTAGAATGAACCCACACCAGTTGAATGAATGATGAGATTACATTGTACTTTTCCTTTATTGTTAGAATAAGGTGAAAATGTTTTATGAATTTTCTACAGTCCAAAATATTTATTTCGAATCATAACTAATGCATTTAGAGCAATCTGATCAAAACAATTCCACAGATATACAAAATCTGCATCGAAAGTGCATAACATTTTCAATCAACATGGTTGATCAGCACAGAAAGAAGGTACATACTCTTATCGATGAACATCGTTGATCAGTGCTGCCAATTCTCTTCAAACATGATTCTGAAGTTTCTATTTGTCCAAATTGTTTGTTTTAAATCATAACTAATGCACATTTAGAGGAACCCATTACAGCAATTCTACCGATATACAAGCAAAATAACATCTTTTCCCCCTCATCAAACATGATTCCGAAGTTTCTCTGTCCAAATCATTTGTTTTGAATCATAACCAATGCATTTAGAGCAATTCCATTACAGCAATTCCACTAATATACAAGAAAAATACCATCTCTTCCCACAATAACGGAAAGTACATAGACAAACACTAACCTTCCTGGGAAAAAAAGAATCCTCATCAAATATGATTCCGAACTTTCTCTCTGTCCAAATTGTTTATTTCGAATCATAACTAATGTATTTAGAGCAAATCCTATTACAGCAATTCCACCAATATACAAACAAAATAACATCTCTTTCACAATAATAGAAAGTATATAGAAAAATTTAAATCAGAAACCTTTCCGTTCAAAGAATGAAACTTTTACTACAGTTACCACCCTAGTGATTATAAATTATTAACTAACATCCTCTTTGTTTGACAAATGACCCAGAGTACAAAAATACCTCAAAATCCTCGAGAAATGTTCTAAACTAAAAGGCCTGTATCGAATACCTGTAATGCCGAATCAAAGGCCTGATAGCATCTGGGTAAAATCCACAGCTCTCTTACATGTAACATGACACAAAACTGAAAACCTACATTTCATATTCAACAGACAAAGAGTTCTAACCAAGGGGAAAGTGAGAGAGAAGCGATTTTACCAATTCGCGGAATAATACAAAGGAACTGCTGAAGTTATCTATGTTGCAAAAGCTCCTGGTCTATAGATTCAAATTCCTTGAGATTGTTGACCACATTTTGAACTTTCTTGGTTAACTGTGTATTATGTTCTTCAACGATTTTCATAAATGAGTTTAGTTGTTCCTGATATGCTGTGCATAATCGCTTCTTATTTCTCAGCTCTGCTGTTAATTCCTGGATTTTCTTATCCTTCTCATCCTACAAGAATTGCCAAAACAAACTATTTAATATTCAACACCAAAATTTTTCTTCCTCGATTGCTAGTCTAGCCAAAAAGATCCATTGAAGTGAACATTTCGAGCCAAGTTTACAGAAAACTAATCTGCTTAAGATCATTAATCAAAAAATGGTAATATATTATAATGATGTGGGCAGATGTTACATGGACTTTTCAATTCACCCAACATATTCAGACAAGTACAGAGGCCATACACAAAATGCAATGTTCATTAAACTCTCCATTCCGCTAGACTAGATGAACAATTTATAGCAAATAAAAAATCCACATATGGAGGCACATGTTCATATTTGATGTCTATATATGAATCCATGTAATATAGATTTGCGCTTAAATTTTACCATCTCTTACATATGCACCACACACAAGAGTTGGTGACACATTTATATTAATCAATCACACATCAAGAAACAATAAACTAGTAGTTAGGGAATGCCATATTACAAACTGTATAAAAAATGTGGTCATGGGAAGCCAGAAACAGTGGAACTGGAACAAGAGCCGTAACTGTGGATGAAACTGCATTACCACTAGACAAGTTGCGCAACTCAACCATCCAAAATCAGCAAGGTGGGCATTGTGCCAGATAGGAAAAAGACAAAACTTGTAAGGAAAAATAGGAATACACATGGTCCTTGGAACATACAAAAATATTAAATATTTGCAGCCAAGGACACTTTTGATATTTTTTTTAAGGAAACTTTAACTAAATTTTTTTTCGGTAACCTTACAATAAGTTTTTGTTAGAGGGAAAAAATATATATTTTTCGCATGATTTTTCAGAAAAAAGTTTTGATATGATGTGAATTTATATTTTCAGGCACACTATTAACTGTTAACATAGTTAAGAACTTTAAAGGAAACAAGAAAGCAGAGTTGGAGTTCTAAGAACTTTGGAAGAGTACATTAAACAGTGGATAAGGAATCCTCCCAAGAACTTTAAAAAAGAAAACGGAAACAAGCAAACTTAATAACATGAAAACAGCTCAATCCCTTTGAAGATAGGTACAAGAAACGCCTTGAAAAGGACCATGCGTCTTAACCAAAAGAGACACCAGAAAAATCAATCTATCTAAAAGCAAAGGGGGAGGTTGGAAGCAGTCTTTAAAGAAACTTAGCAGTCCTCTTAGATAGAAGCTACATCAAACAGCAAAAATGGTTCCTCTCTAATTTTTTCTGCTCCTTTTTCGTTGGTTTATGACCACGCAAGAAACTGGTAATTCTATATGTCATGAATCAATGTAAGGGAAGAGGAGAGGGGAGGAAGCGAACAGTCGAAGAACCATCTAGAGATATAGTAGCAAAATGAGACAATACTCCAGATAGTTGATCATTTATTTGTTCTTAGTACTTGTTAATTTCTGAATTATTGGTACAACATAGATATTGGAGCAAAGCAGAAGATATAAAGAGGAGATATCCTAATTTTGGGTGAAAACACAATTTTGAAACTGGCCGATGAACGTACTCATTGATATTGCCTTTCACCTCAAAGCTTCCATATTATGAGCAAATCTAATTATGCAAAATAGGAAAAGTATCTTTATTTTTTTCTTAACTATTTTAATTTTCCCTATTTAAGTTAGTACGCTTAATGCATACTCCTATTTTTATAGGAATCTGTCACTGATAGTCAGCCAATTACCTTTAGGCCTACAGGAGCC